CTCTCCGTCTCTCTCGCTTTAACTCTTTCTCTCGCTCTGTCTCTCTTTCCCGGTTCTCTCCGTCTCGCTTTCACCAGCGTGTCTTTCCACGATTCCGCGCGCTCTCGCCGGTTCGTTCCGTCTCCCCTTCCCGAGGTTCTGGAAAGTTCCACCGATGGTCGCGTCGTCGGCACCGACACCGACGCCGGGCACCGAGTCTCCGATATCGCCGGCAACGGCGACGCTGATGCCAGCGTTAGGGTCGTCGCACACTTGACGCCGCAACCGAACGGCGCCGTCAACGTCGGTCTTTTCACTTGTTCGTGGCGCAAACCAGGGATGCGTCCGTCTGACCGCTATTTAGAGCGTTCCCGTTCGATGTTACGGGTAAGAAAGTCAGGCCGACGTCGATTCGATGCCATTCGTGGCGCGCCGTTAAGTGTGCGGCGACCCTTAAATCGACGCCACTTTTTCCACCTTTCTCCCCGGGTGTGCGCGACGTCTGCGCCGACGCGCGACCACCTCGTTCACGGTCCGCGGTCCGTCGTCTCCTTCGAAAGCCGGCTTCGACGGGCGTCCGTCACGGTGAAGCTCCGCCGCTTGTAACGACGACGGTGATACGCTCTCTGGGTGACGGAGGTGTTTGCTCAGCTTCCTCTGGCTGTCGTTTCTCTGCCTACGCTTTTTGTACATATTTACACGGCTGTACGGAGTTGCGTCACGCACACGGAATCCACCGAAAATTTCACCGTTCCACGGGAACACCCTAAAGAGACTCGCTCGCTCGCTCGCTCGCTCGCTCGCCTATCGAGTCCGTCGTCTCGCGTGCATCCGAGAACGTGCGTCCGTGGAACGATCGCTGCGCAATCGCAGCTTTGTTCGGACACCGGTGCCGCGGTTGTTCCTCGCTCGGCAAACATTTTTCTTCTCCGTTCTTTTATCCTGTTTTCCCCCCCCTTTCGCGACGTTATTTTCCTCTTCCGGTATCGGTCTCGTGAATTCCTCGCGGCCTACACGCGCGCACCTCTCCGCGCTCGCGTTTTACCATTACGCACGCACACATGCACAGAGTCGAAGGCGAGAGAGCACAGGTACACGCGGGTAAACGTGCACGGTCGATCGGAAAATATCGATCGTCGCGATAACACCGTGTAGCGTGTGTGCGTGTGTATTGGTCGGAGGAGAAGGAATCGTGTACGTGTGCACGTGCGCGCACGCGCGCGCGGCGATTCGAACGGACGCGCGTCCGAGAACTTTGCTCCTCCGCGCGGTCGTCGTGTCCGAACGTCTCGTGTCCGTTTCCCTTTATTTTTCTCTCTGTTCACATCCTCCCACCTCGCCTCACAGTTTGTTGTTTTCATCGTCCAGAAACGGTCGCTAATGGGGATCGGCTAAAGCGGGATACGTACCGGCGTGTTTCCAGTGAGGACGATTGAGAACGCGTCGACGATCGATCGTCGGCCGTCCCTCGTTCCTAGCTGGGTCGCCGCTGATCACGACCCCCGCTATACCAGGACACGGTATTCGGAATCGCGGATTAAAAGGGAAAAGAAAAAAAAAAGAAAAGAAAGAGATCACATGTAATCCCGAAGTTTGCATTGTCTTCTAGGACTCGTCGTGCGACCAGAATTTGTCGACCGACGTGCACCAAATCTCTAGAGGTGGCGTAAAATTTGTAATGCAGCAAACAGAGAAATTCAATAAACGATATTTATCATCACGTTACCAATAATTAGTTTCTAAGTATTTTCGGACCTGCTTCCATACCATTCACTCGCTTCGCACGTTCACCCATCGAACCTGACCGTTGCCCGCGATAAACGTCGACGCGCGTGTATTGTTCCAGCGATTCCCGTGCGCTTCTTTTTTTTCGTCGGGAAAAACGCGTTTCCACGAGCACGATACTCGCTCGGTTTCCGTTGCGCTAGTTCGGCCGCGTACTTTGCACTCGCGGGAATATTCCGTGCGTACGTACTCGCGCGGTCGTTGCATCGTTAAATCAATGGAACCGCGCGGAAACCATCATCGAACGGTGGTGTCGTTCGACGAGAAATTCGGGACGAGCGACGTCGCGCGATCGCGTCGCGTTCCGCTTTTGATCCGTTATCGCGACCCGGTTTCGACGGTGACTCCGTTCGTTTTCGTTCCGTTCGGCGTTCGGGTAACGCGCGATCGACGCGCGGTTTCGTCGAGGATGCACGGCACGAGGAGATCCGCGGGAAGGAACGTTTCCGGGGACACCTGTTGCGAATCGTCGCGTCGCGGTCCGGTCCGGTTGGAGGAATATTCGGTTCCCGCACAGGCCGGCGAGCTTCGGAGTTCGGCTCGCAGGAGAGCGAAGCCGCGAGCCCCGAACGTCGCGACGTCCCCGATGGCGGCGTACTGCCGCGAATAGGCGAGAAACGAGAGAGAAATGGGAAAGAATATAGGTAAGGTGCAACACGCGGTCCGAACGCGCTGATAACAACGAGAAGGAGCCGTATATCGTGAGCGAATGACAGCTTCTTAGTTACCCAAGATATTGAGGAACTATTATCTAGCACTCCCCGCCGCTCTCTGTACCGCTTTCCGTAGCATAATATATATTTCGGCCAGCAAGATGTGAGCACTGCAGTCGACTTATCTCTACGTTAATTGACACGGACGCAGCGCTAAAATGCTTCCTCAGCCACGAGTGTCTACGCCGCTGGTACGTCACTATTCCTCTAAGTCTACGGGAATTTCGCTAGGAATACACGTAGAGCGTCTAGCGATACCTCGCGCTCGCCCGCATCGGATTCCATAGACGGCATCGCAAAAGTCTCGTCGCGTCGAGGAGATCCGCGGAACCGATCTCGGATCGTTCGAACGAAACCGCACCGTGTGTCGTCCAGGTGAATCGCACGGGACCGCGTAGCCTTTGGAAACGGTTCGAGAGTAACTCCTTCTCGCGACGTCATCGAGCCCCTAATCTCTCCATTGTCGTCTCTGTGTTCTCCACTTTTAGACGTACTTTCACTCTCGCCTTTCTCTCTTTCTTTCGTTTCTTCTCTCGAGAACCTCCCGGACCAGTCATCGCTGCTCGATGTGCCTCTCATCGTGTCACGTTTCTTCCGCCTCCCTTTTGTGTTTCTCTTTCTCTCTCTCTTTTTCTTTAGCATCTCGCGATTCGCGTCGCCGCGGCGTACTCGGTTTTTAGGAGAGACTCGATATCCACGCTTCGATCGGTACCGTCGTGGCTGATTCCATCGCTGTTCCGGGATTTGACACGTTTCCGAACGGAAACGCGGTGCGAGAAACCGGGGCAACGGGGCGCGCTTGGAAACGCGCAGCTTGAAAAGCGACCGGCTGGGAAACGTCTCCGTTCCCGGCGTGATCACGCCAGCTCACGCGCGGATCTCGTGGCAATGGTATCACCGAGGGGAGCCGACCACGCGTTCGACGGAAAGTCGGAAAATGCGCATCACTTGCAATCGTCTGCCCAGTTTCCGGAGGATTCGACGCGTGAATCGTCCCACGTTGAATCCCGTTGGACTCGTCGCTTCGTCGCGAATTTTACCGATCTAGCAGGATTCGTTGTGCTCGTCAAGCGAACGAGCGCTTGAAAAGCATTCTTTGAAAAGCATTCTTTCAGCTTCGAAATCATTCGAGGAGAAAGTAATTCGGTCGAAGTAGTATAGAAACATCGAATCCCGTACGATCGTTCGAAACTTCGATGTCCGAACGGTTCCCCGCGATGGATTGAAATTTTACAGCGCCAGCTTCGCCGGGGAACGCGACGAATCCTGGGATTTCGAGGAAAACCCGTGACTATGCGACGAATTTAGCGGAATTCGTCCCGGAATCCGTCGCACGCTGCAATTACTCGCTTCGCGATACGCGGAAACAACGCGGATTCGCTCGAGCAACTGCAAATAGGAGTGACGCAAGCACTAGTTGTTCTTCCAGGAATGCCAAATATTCGGAAAGATCGGCACGCTTCGCAGATACGCGTCTCCGCGCCGCGTTTCTATCGCGTTCGTCTACTTTCGAGAGGAAAAGGGTGGCTCTTTCGGTACGGTGTTTTCGGCAGACGAAAATAGAATCGACGACCGATCGAAACTACGCCCAGGCGAAACGTTAAATATACGGGGTGTCCTAGTTTTCATGGTACAACCGATCGAGGGGTGAATCTTCCATGTCGGAGTAAACGGAAAACGAGAATGAAATCCGAATACCGCACGTGTACATTTAATTACCATGTTCCCGAAGTTATCGGTACAAAGTACGTTACTTAAACATGTTAATGTCACACTTAATTCGAGTCTCGTCAATATTTTCCTCTCGTGGGATGTTAACTGTCTCCGACAGCATATTGATCGTTGCATCTGACCAACCACGAAAACTGGCCAATACAACAAAATTTCATCCCCTTCTACATCGAATTTCATCCCTTTATCACGCGGATGCGCCTGAAATATTGATCGTACCAAGAAAACGGAGACACCCCGTGTCGCGTAGGCGATCGGTATCGAAAACGAAGAGACAACTCTCGCGCAATGCGACAGAAATGAGCAGAAAAATGAATTTCATGGCATCGAGACCTAAAAATTCCCTCAAATTTCCCGACTTTTCTTTGGTTTCCGTCGCTCGACGGTTTCACCGGGTCGCCGATTCGATCGGAGCACTTGTCGAAAGAGTGTAAACGGACTTCCGGTTACCGCGGTAGCTAGGATCGAAAGTTGATCCCCGATTCCCCGAAAGCGTCCGTAGAGTATCGGCTCGCGATCGTCGGGAAAGGCGTTTGAAAGGTGCGCTTCGCGGCAAATATTCGAACGACGAGTCGACACGCGTCGATCCGGTCGGCGCTCGAACGATAAACTCGCTGAGGCGAATCGCGCGCGCTCTCTGCTCGTTCCCCGGCTCGCCCGATACGGCGCGGCAGCGATGACCCGTCCCGTTGCGGGACGCGCGTGTCAGATAGCGCCACCGCCTCGGGCCGAGCGGCGCTCTCGCGCGCGCTCCTACGAAATTTGCGGGTGAACCCCCGTGTCCGGGAAGATGAAGAGCGGCGCGGCGCGGCGCGCCTTATCGCGTCTCGCGCTCCTTGTTTTCTCGGCGAAGTGACAATGAATAATGCGCTGTGACCGCAAGTTGCGAGAAGGCATCGATGTATCGAGGACAATCGGATATCAAGGAGAACGTTATCTCGCGTTCCCGTCCAAAGTAGAAACGATAGCACGCGCAAACAACCGAACGGACGACCCTACGGCGACGTCATCGTCCGCGCTCGCTCGTGTCTATGTAAATAAAAATGAAATATAGCTTCCCATTGTCATTCGCAAGAAGAGGCTCTCCGGTCCGCTAAACAAATGCGCCGACACGCGCGCGCGTCGAAAAGCTGGGCTCGAACGAGGAAACGCGGTCCGCCGTTGCTTATCCGCCGCGCACGCGGTGCTGATTAAAGATGGAAGAAAGTATCGAGTTTATCGCGTATGATTCAATGCAGTAGGTCCACATTCGCGAGAAGATACTTCGAAACTGAAGGAAACTGATTCGTAAAAGAATCAGTATCCATGGGGTTGAATAACGACGGGTCAGCATATTCGGACGAGAAGTTTCTTGTTCCGGGAAACACGCTTTCGAGATTGATTGACGGCGTCCGTCGAATCGCAACCAGGAAAACCGGGGAACGTCGAGTATTATCAGCTGCCTGGAAATCACCGATAATCCGCGATGCCGCGGGAAAAGACGATTACGCCGGAACGGAGAATAGAGCCCGAGGGAATATCGGACGATCAATCGCGCGTGCTAGCGGTGGGCGATTATACGCGACGCGATGGGAACCGATTATTTGCAAATCTATGCGGAATGACGTGATAGACGACCGTCGGTTTCCGAGTTACAAAGGAAACAGTTAGAAGGTCATTAACGTTGCAATGGTCGAGCGATACGCGTGTGTCATCGAGCACTGTTCCCGGTCGTGACAGTTGGAAAAATTCGGCAAAGTCGGGGTCCATCGGTCCGCCCCGGTCAGCCCCTGTGTACGCGACACGCGTCCGGACTGGCCACCATCCACCAGGCACGAGCGCAACATTCGCGAATGTGTACGTCTCACGGTTCGATCGTAAAGTTCACGGGGGTTATCGGCGAAACCAGGGGTAAAAGTCATCTTAATCGGCGAGCGAGAATCACGTTCTCCTCGTCCGCCGCTTTTCGTCATTGGCTCGTTACGATAATCACCGCTTCTTTCCTTCTCTTTCGCGCGGCGAGCGACACTCCTCTCGAACCGATTCTCGATAAACGGAACCAGTATAAATACTCCGACTTCGAGGTTTCATCCCCCGTCGGCACAGTTCGGTTCCGAGACTTGGCCGGACAGCGCGAGTTCCATTGTTCCTCCATTCGCGGTCGGCGCGAGTTCAATTCCGCTTCCGTTTACGGAGAGATCGTTCGCAACCCTTGCCGCGGACGACCGATCGCAACCCTATTAACCTGTGGACGAGTGAAACGAATCTCCGGTTGATCATCGATTCCTTTCCGAGCATTCGGTACGGTTCAGAGTTTCCATGGAGACCATGGTTTCGTTTCTTAGAGGTCGCGAATCTCCGCGATCGCGATGCCGGTAGTAGATTTTCCCGATGATCGTGGGACGAGAGGTTGACGAAGCGTTCGTTTGTTTTCAGGAGCGATCCGTCCTGCCGAAGAATTACACGAAGGTGCCCACGGTCGCGAGATCGTCGACGATCAATTCGGGTATCAGCCTAGATTGCTCGTCGAACACGACCCTCGCGACGACCGTCAGCCCGTTCAACAGCCAGACCGCCCTTATCGTGGAGAAGAAGAGCCCTTCTCCGGGGAGCGTGGCAGCCACTCCAGTGAACCATTACTATGAGCAAAACCTGAGGAACAACCACCAACAGGCCCTGCACGGGTCTCGCATCTACAACCCCCTCGAGAAAGACCTCGAGCTCGATTACAAGCAGCTCGACCCGCTGCTGGCCGGCGAACAACCCCCTTACTCCGTAGTCCCTAGCAAAGTATCGGCGATGAGTTCGCAGGACGTGAAGTCGCCGAAGGACTCGATCGGCATGGAGAAGCTGCACGAGACCGCGTACCAGTTCCAAAGGGAGACGAAGCAGAAGCACTTCGCCACGCAGGTAATCTCTTCGGTTCTTAACCGTTCCCCTCCGTTTTTGCTCGTTCGCGGCGATAATGACGGCAATCAACGAGTACCAAACGCGGGATCGCGTCGACGGCGGACGTTCCGGCCGAGTTCGCCGTTGCCGGATCGAGGAAAAAAGATCGAGGTTCATCGCGACGCGATTTATCTACGCGGCCCGCGACTTTCTACCGTACGCGCGCTCGCGATTACGTTCTCGCAGGGGAACAGCAGCGGCCTGGTACGTTTCTTCTCGCGTACGAGCCTCAAGGATACGCACTACGACGAATCAGCCTTGATCCATTTGTTGGTTCGCCTCGGCTCGTACGGTTCGAACTTGACGCGAGACGGATGGCACGGCGAGCGAGAAACGGCCGCGGTCGGGAAATTTTTCCGGCCGCGACTCGCTGCGCTCGACGCGCGATCCTTCCCTTGGAATTCGCCGGGATCGCCGCTTCCGGTGCCAGTGGTCGAACGGTACGACCCGGCCGTACGATATCTGCGTCCGATAAGAGACGGTCCGCGCGAGAAATCGGATTGGTCCGGATCGATGCGAGCGCAGTCGCATGAGATCGGATCGGATCGACTCGTCGCGGATGCCTCGCGTGCCTCCTCCGCCCCGTTCGATCGAGCTAAACTCGAGAGGATCGTGATCTTCGTGTTTACGACATCCACGCGTTGCGTACAGATGCACATATTATTGCGCAAATAGACGTACACGAATAAACATCGCGCGAGCAACGACAACTACCGACGTCGGCCGCGTTATGAAAGCTTCCGACGACACGACTCCGCGAGATCGGATCTCGTTCTCCTCTCTGGGTCCGCTTTCGCTTTCGCCGAAACCGTCGTCCGAGCTGCAACAACGAAATCGCGAGACACTCGAGGCCCCTGCATACATCACGATACGCATCGCTGATGCATCGTCGCCGGGTTTCGTGAAATCTGCGTCGCGCCAGCTCGCCTCCGCGCTTTGGATTCTGTTTTACGTCTGTCTCTCCCAACTCGTATGTCGACTTCAACAATAGGATCTACGATCATCGTAGAAAATAAAACGTTCGAAGCTAAAAGGAGAAGCTTGAGTTCCGAGACGGATGCAAATTGCATCGACGTCGATTCACCGGTCCGCGTACGTCGAAACACACGCGAAACCTAGGAATAATCAGCGACGTGTATCGTGATCTGCAGAGGCCCTTGCACGCGCCACTCGCACACCTGTTTCCGACGAGCGGAGGCGACAGGAGACGAGCCGGCGCGGCGGGTGGACGGTGTCGTGCAGACTAGCGAATAATACGCTGGTCTCGGTCGCGGAGGAAACGAGATGCGCGAGGAACGCGGGATCGTAATAAGCACCGCGTCTGGCCGATCTCTCGCGCGTGTTCCGTCGTTGCACCATCGAAAGAGACAATTACGGAAAACAAAAGACGTATGCATGCATGCGCGGCATGCGTCCGTTCCGCGCGTCCGTGCATTCGCGTCCGTATGGAGCTATGTCGCGGCGACCTTGCGCACTTTTGATAATAACCGACCGACTTAATTTCGCTCCGCGTACAATAACGCTAACGCTCCTCCACGAGGCGCTGCGCCGGCGAGCCGCATTGAGAACGGTTTCGGCCGATTCTCCTCGCGGTTCGATCCGATCGTTGCGAGCCAACGTTTCGCAAGCCGCGATTTCCACTTCCGCGTATTCGCCCCGACTTCCGGGGAAAACGGGACCAAGGCGACCCGAAACTTTCCGGCCGCTCGATCGAAACGCGGCCGGCGCGGTGCGGCGCGACGCAACAGTAACGACCATCGATTCTTTATTCCTCGGCTCGTGGGAAAAGAAAGGGAAAAAAATGAATATGCGGCGCGTAGCGGTTCGACAAAGGCGATTACGCAACGCGTAAGAAGGTCGCGAGTAAGATCGGACATTGACGACGATTCCGCGGCAGGCCTCGCGTAAATCTGCCCGTCGCGAGAACTGGATCCATATTCCGGGTAACGATTTCTAATGGAAATGTTCCCGGTGTCGTCGGAGGTTCCGCGGCGGGGCGGGTAAACGGGTTTCGGCACGTGTCCGTTTTCCGTCGGACCGGTTGCGTCGGCCGTTCCCGAAATGTATCTCTCACGTGCCGACGACAGAAACGGTACGAGACGAGACAAGACGAGTCGAGACGAAATGGCACGGGACAGCACGGGACGGTGTGCCGAGTAAGTTCGAAGGAATGGCACGAGCTACGCTCGCGCGTAGGACCGCGTACGCGGCACGCGAAACCAAACGAAACGATCGCGCGCATACACACGTATATACGTATAATCGTCCGATTCGCGGACGATGGATCCTCGCCGCGAAAAGGGAAGGGATAGCCGCGGCCCCCCAGCATCGTTCCCTATATAAGCGGAGAACCACCCGTCGGTCCACGAGTGTCAATAACGAGCGTCAATATTTTACGGGAGCGACGTCGGCGTCGACGTCGACGGTGTAGATACACGACGAACGGATAACGGCGCGAGATACCGATCGACCGGAGGAAAAACCAGCGAAGGAAGCAGCGGAGGAGACGGGAAACAAAAAGAGAATCAACGACGGGAACTCGAGCGCGGCCGCGATCGCGTCGCCGCTAGGGGAAAAAAGAAGGAGGACACCGTAGATCGTAATCTAATTCGATCGAATAAAACAGAATCGATACCCGTCGCGTCGGAAATTTTCCGTCCGCCGGCTCGGCATTTTTTTGCTCTTTCCTCTGACTCGATTTGGCAGCCGCCAACCCTCGACCATGAAGATTCTTATGCGAGCGGATACCCATGTGAACATCGAAGTACCGGGCAACGCGCCAGTCGCTAAATGCACCTTCACTCAGGTATCGGCAATCGATCGCGCCTCGATCCCCCGAACGATTATCGGCGACATTGTTAACCGTTTCGCGGAGCGTGCCGTCGCGGCCACCCTTATCGCGCCGGCGATCGCGTACGAATACGCCGCCGCGTATACGCCTCGCGGCGGCCATCTTGCGCTCGGTTTAACCACCGACCGTCCTTTCGTATCGAATGTCGGTCGGAAAGCTATCCCGGTTTCTCCGCGTGATCGCGCGGTCGCGAGAACTCTTAACGCTTACGCGACCGCCTAAAAGGGAATACAACTGCACAACCTCCTCCGTAATCTTCAATTCGACTCGTTCAATTAATTCGCTTAGAGACTGTGTTCCGTATAAACAAGAACGGTACTCGATGAATTGCAAATAATCCCACTTGAAGACTTAATGAATAACAAAAGATAAACGGAATACGAGGCGAATGCGTTGCTAAGTGCAAAGTGGGAGGTCTCCCCGTTCGGTTCGCTAAGTGTTAAGTATCGCTACTTTACGCCACGCGATCGCGAATTCCGAGGGAACGCATCGACGACGATGATGATGATGATGATGATTAACGTCCGATCGGACCGGTTGGTCCACAGGTGCTTGCGGCTCTGTCAGTGTCGTTGGGCTCTATGGTGGTTGGCTACTCCAGTTCGTTCACATCCCCGGGTCTGGTCTCTATGCGTGACAATGCCACGGCCACGTTCGAAGTGACGAAGGAAACGGTGAGTACCGCTACTGATCACAGCTATTTCGCCAGCCGTAAGGAGCTGTACGCACGAAGGCGACGCGGTATCGCGGTCGGACGCATTCGCCGCGTTCCGGCGTCGTAAATGTTTTCAAACAAACGTGCTCCGAGGAGCACCGCGCGCAATCACCCGTGCATTCCGTTCGAAACAGAAACAATTTTATCCGGATTCCCTTCCTATCCGGGAAACGAGCCAAGGCCAGGTGATCCGCGGCAAGGCACGTTCCGTTTTTCATGCGTCTCTCGATTACGCGATCATCTCGAACGGCGAGCGTCGGTTCCTCCGATAAGGTCCGCGCCGTTGGAGAACGCCGCAACCGGAAGTGCCGCGGATCGGGCGGCCTGGCAGGTTCTTCCATCGATTCCAAGCGGAAACCGCGTTCCACCGCGAATCGACGGAGCAAAACGAGAGAGAGAGAAGGAGCTGCTTCCAATCGGAGGGAATCAGAATCGTGTCCTCATTTGATCGATTGATCGTTCCATAAAGCGAAAGGGTACGTCGGCGGATATCGGAAGGGTCAATGGATGATTAAAACTTTAACCTCGAGTGCGTCAATGGTAGGGCGACGGTGACGCTTCGATTACGACCCCGTTGGTCCGTGGCGAAGCATCGGTGGGCCGGCCAGCCTCGAGCCTCGCGCGGCGCGGCGCGCGATTGGCTCCCGCACGATCGACGCGCCCGCGCCGCGTCTAAGTCCCCTTGTAACCTTCGTCAGCGATACTCTCCGCGAGTGTTGCACGCGCGGGAATAAGCTCGCGGCCGAGTTAAACCGACGCCGACACTTCCGCGTCTTCTCTGTCTCCCTCTCGCTCTTTCCTCCTTCGTTCGGTTTCTTGCTCCTTGCCCGCCGAGCCGCGCGAAGAGAACGTCGAGGTGTACGCGATCGGCCGATTAATCGGCTCGCGTGAACGATTTCCTTCCTTCCATGATATTTCCTTTCTTCTCGCCGCTCTGCCGCTTATTTATATTCGAAGGCCGCCCGGCATTCGCCGTGCGTACAAATCTTTCGAGCGTTATTCCCATGCCGGATCAATTCGCCGGCTGGCTCGCGGCCGAGTACTTGGATACTTACTCGCGTAATAGACGCGCGCGCCGTTCGATGTCGTTCAACGATCGATTTGCTTTCAGGGCATGTGGATAGGCTCGGTGATGCCGTTGAGCGCGTTGTTCGGCGGCATAGCCGGTGGCCCCTGCATCGAGTACCTCGGCAGAAGAAACACCATCCTCGCCACGGCGCTGCCTTTCATCGCAGGTACCGTCACAATACAATTTATTCCAGACTTTCGCGATCACGAATACTAGGACGCCGATTTTTCGTGCGTTCACCGGGAATTCCGGGAACGTTTGCAACGCGAAAGAATTTCCAAAGATTTGCGGTAGAATGAGTATTACTCGAAGTTTCCAGGGTGCGAGGCGTTCGTTGAGGATCATTTCCCGACAATTCGCTGGCGTTGCGCGCCGGTATCGGTCTAGAGCCCTAGCGCAGCCAGTTTCGCAATGCCAGCGAAACGTCAGGGAAATCATTCCTAACGAGCGCCGCTCGCAGGCCCGCGAAATTTGTGAACAAGATCACGTTCCCGGTTTCCGTTGCGTTCACGGCCGTTCACTCGAATTCCGCGGAAGAAGCGTTAACGGGCGATTCACGTTTCGATTGCAGCCTGGCTACTGATCGCGTTGGCGAGCAATGTCGCGATGGTGCTGGTCGGTCGCGCGCTCTGCGGCTTCTGCGTCGGCATTGCTTCGTTGTCACTGCCGGTCTATCTGGGCGAGACGATACAACCAGAGGTGCGAGGCACGCTCGGACTGCTGCCGACGGCCTTTGGTAATACAGGTACGTGCACTTCTCTTTTCCGTTTCGCCTCCTTGACCTGTCAGCCCGGTGATTTTTCATTCAGCGAGTCGTAGCTCGAGATGAATGAAGCCGATACGGTCGACATACTGAACTGGCGAACGTTAACGGGACACGGTTGACATCGTCGTGGATGTCGCAGTTTAGTAGAACGCGAGATTCGCTAGTCTGAAACCGAATCACTGACAGGTCGACGAGATCGCTATATTCTACTCAGACGTTTAATCATCTTCTTCCCTTAGGGATTCTACTATGTTTCGCGGCGGGCATGTATTTGAATTGGAGAAACCTCGCGTTGCTCGGCGCGTGTCTGCCGATCCCGTTCATGATCCTGATGTTCACGATCCCCGAGACCCCGAGATGGTACATCTCCAAGGGAAAGACGAAGAGGGCGCGTAAATCGTTGCAATGGCTGCGCGGCAAGGACACCGACATCACCGACGAGCTGACTGCCGTCGAAAAGCTGCACGTCGACAGCGAGAGACACGTCTCGCAGGGTGCGTTCATGGAGTTGTTCAAGAAGAACCACTTCAAGCCGCTCCTCATCTCGCTCGGCCTAATGTTCTTCCAGCAGTTGTCTGGTATCAACGCTGTCATCTTCTACACCGTCCAAATATTCAAGGTGTGTTCAAATTCACGGTCCAAATATTCAAGGACGCAGCGAGACTCTTCTATAACGATCGTTCTAATCGCGAATGTCCCCGTGTTCCAGGACGCCGGTAGCAGCATCGACGAGAATCTGTCGACGATCATCGTTGGTATCGTGAACTTCATCTCGACGTTCGTCGCGGCGGCCGTGATAGACAAGCTGGGTAGAAAGATGTTGCTGTACATAAGCGGCGTCTCGATGATCATAACCCTCTTCACGTTCGGCGGGTTCTTCTACGCGAAGGACAAGGTGGAGGCGGACGTGTCGTCGTTCGGCTGGATACCCTTGCTGAGCTTGATCGTCTACGTGATCGGGTTCTCGCTAGGGTTCGGCCCGATCCCCTGGCTGATGATGGGCGAGATTTTGCCGGTGAAGATACGCGGCTCCGCCGCCAGCGTCGCGACGGCCTTCAATTGGACCTGCACGTTCGTCGTGACGAAGACGTACGAGGACATCGTCTCGCTGTTGGGAGCGTACGGGACATTCTGGCTGTTCGGCACGATCGTTCTGATCGGCTTCGTCTTCGTGATCATCTGCGTGCCGGAGACGCGCGGCCGGTCCCTCGAGGAGATCGAGAAGAGATTCAGCGGTCCCGTGCGAAGAATGAGCGCGGTGGCCAACATGAAACCTATGCCGATGGCCTGTTAACCGCTTTCTTTCAAATCACTAACTAGCCGATATCAATGCGTTCGATGCCCGGTTGACGGAGTCGGCGGACGGCTCTCGATGCCGTCTCAACGGTACCCTTCGAACGTATCCTATAGTTCCTTATATTACCGAGCGATAAGGACACGCGAAACGTGGACGGCGGTGACCGTCTTCAAACGCTATATTCTTGTTCGATCCTCCTTTCCTCGCTTCCGTTTGCCTCCTCCGATCGGCTCGACGATCCTCGTCGAGCCGGGCTGCCCGTGAACAGTACGAGGAGGAAATCGGCAGCGTGTCGCGAAGAGTACGCTGGGAATCCCCGGTTTCGGATGTCCAGCGGCGGATAACTATTTTAGATAGCGACGACTCGGACAGAGGGAGGACCTTCAGATAGGACGTCGCATATAGTTGTTATATTTTTGTTATTCGATAGTTTTACAGAGTCTACCTCAAATTAGTACTTTTACGAAAGGTATACGAGTAGGTTAACGCGAGGAGTGCGGATTATTTAATTAGCGCGCGTGAACGAGGCGCGAGGAGTACGGCACGCTCCGCCCGTTGGGGTGTCCGGTGTTTTAAACCTGTCCCGAACGCGTGCGCGTGTCGCGGGGGACGACGGTGATCACGTTCGGGGATGGAACGTACTTCGATTGTTCGGCGGATCGCGGGAAGAGACGCGCGGCGAGCGACGAATTCGCCTCGCGTGGCTGCGCCGATACCGGCCGGGCCCGTCGCGTCAGCCTCTGTACATACTTACCGTCGTCATTGAATGCGTCAACGGGCAATTGCGCCATACGCGAACCAATTAAATCGTAAGGTATGCATAGTTAAGAAACAGAGATCAAAATAATACGCGTTTATTTTTCCAATGTCGTTACTGTTGCAACTGCCGCGGAAACGGGCGCAACTGTGACAGAAGCGCGCGCAATTCGTTCGCGTTCACGTTCACGTTCTCCGATGCACATCGACACGGAACATTTTACGTCAATTGTTGTCTTCAGGAAGGTGCGGACGGGAAGGGGTCGAGTCGGGTCGGATCGGATCGGTTCCGACCGAGCTGGACCGGATTGAATCGAATCTCTGTTGGACGTTGTCTCTCGACCGACACTCGTAACCCCTAACCCCCCCTGCTCCGCGACCATCGTAAACGCAATTTCCTGCGGTGTTTCTCGGCGTAGCGACAAACGCCATTACGAATCTCTCTGCGCTTTACGATGGGACGGGGAAGCGATGCGAGACATTCCTATTGTACGGTTCAACGTACGATATTACAATCCACGGCAAACGCAAGCACCAAAAATTCATCGGGAACGCGCCGTTTCGTGTAGTTCGAGGTGACGATGTAGCTGGGTATTAACACTGGAACACCGCCGAGCGGTCGTATCGTCTTTTTCAAATTTCTCCGTGGAAACTGAACGACTATCGAGACTTCATGCAGTGTAGCTCGTGTATTGGCGAATCAATGTCTCTAGTCGTTTCTCGGAGAAGCATCCGTTACTTCCTCGATAATTGGAAAACAAATCATTAATGGGTCGTTTCGACCCATCCGGTGGTTCTAGTGTTAAATCCATTGAACCCCCTTGAAACGGGGTTTCGGAGCAACAGGAAAGTAGCCTGGTACGATCGGCCCTGAAAATATTTTACGTAACGAGAACGATGCTAAAGTTCGACAACAGATAATATGGATGACTAATTGAAACGGCTTACGTTCACGGGCCTGCGTGTACTGTGTTTACTACCTTACTATATCGCGTTCGCTCGAAGTATACGACTCGGATGCGCGCGAGTTAACCCCTCTGAACCGTAACGTTAACGTTTCGTCGGACATTATATTTTTATCATTGTATTATAATTTGTATTTATCGGATGCACACTTGTACCGTGCGTCTCATGTCCGAGAGCCTAACGGTGCTTGCCAAATTCCTCAGACTCGAACAAAAGATATCTTTGAAAGCGTAACGGGCGCGTTAAATTTTTATGTAATTTATAAGTTATTAAAATAGAACGTCTCACACGACATCCTATTGTTCTCGTGATATTTTTTATCTCCCCGTGCCTTCTTCCCGTCAAGTCGATATCAAAGCAATATATCAACGCATTGCACGCCGGGTAAATTTCAGTTGCTGGACACGCGAGCGTCGTTGAGTACATTGATATATTTTTAAATATCAATCAAAGCTAAATTTCCAACTTGCAACAAAGAGTAAATAAGATTATGTAATTTTATCTGTGTTATATATATCTGAAATGTTTCATTAATGTAGAACTGGCAGTTAGGGCTGGCAATGTGTTAAAAAAAAATATTAATCAACCCTTTGCAATCGAGAGGTGACTCACTGCTTGATTTAACACTAGAATCATCAAATGCGTCAAAATGACCATTCCTTGATTTTTCTTGTGATTACTGAAGAGGTACGAATATCTGAGACATTACTAAAGAAGCCGATTAAGTAACAAGCTGGAATTTAAACCAATTAAAATCTTAATTAATCCACTTTGTAGTTTTTATAATGAAATTTTCACAAGATAGTGCTCGGTAGACCTAGTGTTAATACAACAAAACTACAATGTTGAATGTTCAGTATTTTAAATGAAACTTTGTATTGTTATGTGAAATATTTAAATAAAATAGCTTTGTTGCGGAATGCTATAGAATTCATTTACACTGTGATGCAAAATGACAAGAATTCTATAACATTGAAATGTATAATCTACATTGTCATGAATTTAATTCTACGTATCCCTAATTTTTTGAAATTATGCCCTTTAACCCTCGCAGTATAGCATTTGCATTTTTTCTATTTTCGCGGCTCGTCAAAATTTTTCCCGTCCGCGAACGTATCGAATAAGTTTCAAACAATGTCGTCTACGTCCCATCGGGGAATGTTGAATATTTCCAGTGGAAATCTTTCGAGTGCAAAGGGTTAATATTTGCAGGCAACGATTTTCTTATCATCGTCAAACACGCTGAAACTTTGAACTGAGCGAACCGTAACAACGAATCAAGTGCAGCGACATTGTATTGTCACCGCAAAGGGGTGAGGAGATTGCGCGCGCATGCTGGTTCAGTTGGACCATGCAGCGTCCATGCATTTGCATACTTGCGTGATACTTGGTTCACGGCAGAACCGACATCATCGATCGCAATGAAATAACAAAAGATCGCTGGTTTCACCGAGGAACCGAGAAAATGGAAAACGTTTTTCTAACCTAGGAAATTCTGGGATACGCGTTACACACTTACCCATCACTTGAACGCGACAAATCGCGCAGGTGTCGCATTCCACGTCCCAGCTCCACATGGCCACAGCGTTCCATTTTTTCAGGATAAACAGTTTGTCCGTCTTTAGATTGTCGTTGTCGCTACGGTCCCCCACATCTTGTTCCGACTCGGCCATTCCCGGTTTTTAGGTTAGAAACGGCAAACAGACGCGAAGCTTCGCACGGTTGAAATTGCAGCCGGGATCCCTTTCTCGTGGTCGTGTTCGTCGCGCTTCGAATCGGCGTGCGCGCGAGCTGCCTTCACAGTATCCTCTTCCGCGTAGATTTTAAATGGCCTCGATTCCTCCGGATTTGTAAACAACTGCGCACACGGTAGCGTATCCTTCGAGTTTCTTCCGAAATCAAAAATACAGAATTCTACGTTAACTATGTTTATATATATATGTGTGCGTATATTTATAATAGAAATCAGACGAAATTACGTCGAGTGAGGTTTAGTTATCGACGGTAGGTAAGATATCTTCTTACCGGTAAGAACATTCTGGTGGATAATGAAGGAATGTATAAATAATCACCGATGAAAGAGGATAGATAGACACTACACATTGCCAACAGAATACAAATAAATAAAATGAATATACAAATAATGTATTCTCTTTTTATTATCTTGTCTCAATAGTAAATTTTGATCGTGAGTAACAACTACGAGAATTGATAAAAATATTATATTTATGAAAGAGAACTATTCAATATATATATATGTACATATCACATGACAATTCAGTTCTTTTAGATATGATAAATAAAATGCTTATATATTAAATTTTGACTCAATTAATCAATGCTATTTATAATTAGACTATAAGTTATATTGTTTCCTATGAAGATAGATTTTGTTGTGTTAGAGGTAGTTAAATGTATAATGATCCATCTGCTGGGCCTATATATCTTATAGAAATAAGTATAACATCGATAAGAGTCCATACACCAAATCCTCCAAAGCTAAAGAGTTTACCAACTCCTTCCTGCCAGTGTCCCAAATAGAATCTGTAATTCATATCAATTCAAGTAGGATATTCTCACCTTAAGCATCTAAAAACTCATTGATCATAGCATACCGATCAGCTCCAAAACCCCCTAAAGTAATGCTTAAAATTAAAGCAGTGGACCATCGATATCCTACAGTCCAGTTGCACAATAAATTCTTCATGAATTTACGTCTTCCCAAACACAAAATATTGCTATTTACTGTACAATTTGTTATATAATACTGTCGAGGAGATGCCACAGATCTGCATGAATTTTTTTGCTGACATTCATGCTCCCAATGTTCTGTTTGATAACAATAGCGGCACACGTATTTCTTTTGGAAGGTTTGATCACCCTTAAATTTTAATTCATTAATTATTGTGTTATAAACAAGAAATGATATGATTTTATACATTATTTTACGTACAATACAATCAATATGTTCTAAGACAGTACAATTGGCGACATATACAGCCCCATAGGTACAACTTGAATTTAAGTTACAGTTTAAACATTCCCCGCTTAATTCTGAACAAGTAGTGCCACTTGGACATAATTTAGTTATGTCCTCCTACAAACAGTGTAACTGATTAATCAAATGGTTGACAGATTCTTATGAGTGAAATAATTCTGCAACTTTCGTGTTACCTTCCTACTACTGTATGCTGGTGTAGAATTTACATTGGCTTCTTTCATCATATTATTAATCATACTTTCTGTAAGGAAAATATTACAGCAAAGCATATTGCTAAGAAAATGCATATAAAATCATTTAAAGCCATTGTAATTTACCATAACCCATGGAAGCTTGTTTCACAGTAGTCGATAGAATAGCCAGGAGTACGAAGATCACATTTTTCGTATTGATACGTATAATATTCATTATGACTAACTAGCGTTCAAACGATACTAATATTCAAGAATCTTTCACTCATTCATGTACGGGAAAACATAGTTCTCTTTCACAAATACACACATGACCATTTAAAGCTTTGAAGAAAACTTGTCTGAAAGTATGAAATAAAATATTTAGATACAGATGTTCATAGGATAATGACAAACATTCAAATGCGACTGTAATTACATGAAGTAACGGGAACAACAAAAATCATTAAATCCGCTCTCAAACTGTCACAACGTAATCCTAGGGACTAATCATTTTGAACTTTTTACAGTCGTTCCTTTCGTGTCACTTACCTGTCAAGTACCTATATTCCTAGACAACACTACAAACGTACCTTCAACGACTGGAATATTTATTAAACGTATTGCTTTCTTAAAATATTCTTACATATTGTTATGTTCTTTAAATATTTTTATCAAGAGTATTTAAAAATGTATCTGTAAACCGTACAAAATTAACATTCTGCATATATTACAAACTCAATAATATATTTCTCCCTAGGCTTACCAACGAGCTCTTATCGTAGTACCGTATTTAATAGATTTCTAAGCATAAAGCATTCCAAGGCAGTATCACATGATGTTGAAAAGTATGAATACCTTTACTTCCGTGCCATCGTTTACTCTAAATATGAAACAAATGTTACAAACATTCTATACTTGTGTACGGTTGTTTAGATAATAAATAATTAAATTTTTGTAACAATTTTCGTCAAGTTTATTATGTTCACAAGCCGAGAGGCGGCGCCCAAGTAGAGTAGATTCATGTCGTGTGACTCGGTCTTTCTTTTCTCACTTCCCCTAGTAGTAAGATAAACGGGATAGAAAATGATGGAAGGGATAGCAATGAGTTGTTAGCTTATAGAACACACTAAGCTGCTATAGAAATCGTACTGTAGCATTTTCTTTCAGGCAAATGATAGACGCATTCTGTATGCAACCTGTGCGGTAATAGTTTGTAAATATCGAAAGTCTGAGAATCCTTCATTAATGCGCAGACAAGTTGAGGGAATCTTCTTTTAAAGTCGCTTTTGCTTGTGTTATACGAAAGCGATGTATAAAATAATTTCGTATCGTTATGAATGACTGAATAGATTTATTTGGAAAAAATACGCAAGACAACGAATCTTCGCGTAGCTACACTTGTTTCTAACAATCAGCTGACTTCCGGAACTAATACGGGAGACGATGTTAGTGAGGCCTTTCATTCTTTTCACTTGACACAACAGCATTTTCATAACTGAATAGCGTATTACTCGTTTCTCAGTAAACCTAATAATCAAAGACTGACACGTTCGATTCGTTACACCGTAAGCTTGTTTGCGAGTGAACTAATGTTAAATACCGCCTAATCGTTAAACTGTTGGAAAATAATTTTAAGGTAAAAATTTGCTAACACATTTTTCTGGTATTGAATTCTGTTTCTTTTAATAGAGTTTCTTATTGCTTCGCTTATAAACGCATTTTAATCACACTGATATTATGATTAAAATAGGAAATATTTGTGTAAATGGGTGTATTCTTATTTATTTTTTAACAGATAAGTTACTACCCTCCTCTGAAAGATAATATGAATTCTCAAGACGGTGCAAGCAATAACCAGAACAAAATAGAGACAAAAGTGGATGGACATTTAAAGAAAAATAATAATCAACCAGTTGAAAGTAGACTATGTGGAGATCAACTAAAATTAAATAATAAGCTGGGTGAGAACAGTGCCAAGAACCTTCTGTCTTCTAAACCTTCAGTTTCATTGGCTAATGGTACAAGATCTATGCAAGCTACTACATCCAGTTTCAGTAATTCTATGGACCAAGATACAAATCAGGACATGGTGAACGCAAGTGTATCTTCCATATTTTTAAATACCAATAATATCAAGCCTCAAACTGTAAATTCTACCGTGACAAGTCAATTGAAGCATAAGACTATTATGAATACGAGCGCTTTAAATCTGCCTAAGCCTCAGATGCATTTAAATTTATCTTCCAGTCAAAGTAATTCACATTTGAATCATACTTTTGTACCAGTCACTTATAATGCTGGCACTACATCAAGTTCGATTTCACATTTAAATAACACAGCATCTGCATCATCTACAATTCCACCAAATTTATTGATACCTAGACCAAACGAAGACATTGACATGAAAAATAATGTAGATTATATTTCTGGAATTGAAAAGTGTCCATCAAAAGTGTCGTGCAGTTCAGATTCTAGTCCTGAAGTGGACAGTGCCTGGCCATCTAGATCTTATGTTTCTAAATGTGTGTTAAATAATATAGGAGGTAGCATTGGTTCTACAAGTCAAGGAACATGCTGTTTCTTAAGACCTAATATTAATGGTAACAGAGAAGTAGCAGGACCGAGTGGATTACAAAAGGTAAATTCTTTTAATGTCCACTTCTTTTTAGTTTATGTTACTTTACTTTTACACAATTTGTAGCAGAGTACGCAAAGAGAGCAAAATGAGAGGAGAGATTCAAGTTCTGGCAATGAGGGTGACATGTCTGATGGAGAAGACTATTGTATTTATACATACAAGGGAAACGATGATGCAGTTTACTTAGCTCAAAAAGAAGAAGTAAATCAGGGACAATTAGAAGAATGTGAAGAGGAAGGACAATATCATAGCGGTAGATCCAGTCCTGAGATGGACTTTTTAGAAATGGATTTTGATCCTGGGCCTTCTTGTGAGCAGGTATTAAATGATTATGATAGAAGTACAATTCATTTCTTACAGTAATATCTGTAACACAGGATACAGGAGACAGTGACTTGGCCTCTATAAACGAAGACATACAGAACATAGCATTAGATAATGTAGAACAGGATCCAGTATTAAACGATTTAAGTAGTGGTAAAGTTGTATCTCGGCAAGGAATTGCATCTACATCGCAACATCCGAAGCAGAGTGTGCAAAATGTAAATCATGTAGAACTTCAGCAATGTTCTACTAGCCAGTCCACACCGGAACCAACTGTGAAACCAAGTTATCCCTCGTCATGGATGCCAAGTACTAGCGGTGCAACCGGTATACGATATTTCTGATATAACTTATAAAATGTTTTGCAATAGTTATTATATCTATATATATAAAATTTTATAGAAAAATGGGATACTGCTGGCTTATATCGTAATACGGGATGTCCATTACGAGAATCGTATGGATACCACAATACAAGCGGAGATCTTATATCACCTGGTGATAACAGAGACACGGAATCGGAATTATGGGCTGAATCTTCTATGACGTCGGTTTCAGAAAGTTCAAATTTAAATTCTGGGAGAGTAAATCTCAGTTCAACTCTTTATCATCGCATGATGGCAAAAAAGTTGATGCTCAATAAACAGGCCGCGTTTAATCAGAGTGGCGATTCAAATCTAGTTAATATGTTTTACTATTATAATTTCAATGTACAACATGTTCATCTACTCTAAGACTGTTTATAAATATTTATTTGTTACAGGAAAACGAATTATGCAATGAACGATTAGATGGACTTCTACCGGTTGAAAAAGTTATGTTATGGAGCGAAAAAGAAGCAACAGTAAAACAAGTCACACAAATTGAAACCTCTGCATGTGGTGCTACGTCTGCAATTAACGCTTTGGTATGTATATTAATGATAACGTCTTGTGAGCTACTTAACTAAAATATTTTTTCATAGTTGGCTTTAAATGTATCATTTTCACTGGAGGCATTATTAAATGGTGTAAACACTAGACAAAGAGAGCCAGGTTCACCACTGCCTAGATATTTATACAGCCGGTCTGTTGCCGGATCAACTCATAACGATTTGGCTCGTGGTATAGCTTTGTGTACAAACGGTTCAGTTATAACAAAATTTTTTGCATTCTATCCAGAAAGGAAAGTGTCCTTGTCTCATTGGCTTCATTATTGGATTTCAAGAGGTACATAACTAGGAAAGTCAAATATAGAGAATTTTACTTTACAAATGTAAAATTTTTCTTAAAGGAGCTGCACCCATTGCAACATTAAATTTACAACATTGTGGAGAAGGGTGTGATATTCCAGATGCATGGCATCATCAAATGATATTTGGTGTAGGACAGGCGGGAATATATTTAACCAATCCATTAGAATGTTTACCCGAGCAGGTTGGTTAACATTCAAGTGATTTATTTACTTGTATAATATTGAAATTTTATATTTTTTTCTAGTATGTGTGGCATCAACTTGTAAGTCCTAGTATTTTGCTGATACGAAGAGCAGATGTTCTAGCCCATTGGAACGCTAATACAGATCTAACACCACTCATTACCATGAATCAAAAGTGGCGAAAGCTCAATGTTCTCGGTATGTTTAATTTCCATATTTATGTACAACTATTACTGTGAAATATAACTATTGTTTTGTGTTTCCTTGATTAGGGCAAGTTGTAAATATGGTACGAGAAGCAATGACTCAAAGACGACAACTTAGTAATGCGAGTACTGGCACAACTCACATTCGTATTCCTGCATCTTACGAAGCAGGTATTACATTAGTTATGTGTGCAGATTCTGCTGCTGCTTCCGAGTTGTTACATGCTGAACAATTACCATTACTCTAGTCTTGTTAATCAAAATTCATAGAATCCAGGCTGCCCTCCCTTTTTTATTTGTAATAAATTTAATTAGCAGGCTGGTCCGCACAATGTTGTTTACAATAGTTCATTTATTATATAAGACAGTTAGAGTCAGAATTAAAATGATTTACTTTTTTGACACAAAAAATGTTTATATTCAAAGAGATTATCAATTGAAATATATTTCAATAAAATATTTCCGTTTTATATGCAGTTATATTTATAAACTCATACATTTAAAATATTTTGACAACCTTAATGTAAGAGTTCATGCAATTATTCTTAAGAGTAATAAGAGGTAAGTAATCATTTGTTGTATGTAATTATCAAATTTTGTCTTTCAGTTTGTAATGCTTTTTCATTCAGAACAGTTTAAAATTACGTTACACAGTAAAAATTGCTTTGGTGGTATCAGACAGAACTTAATGATGCATTTTGTATAAATTTCTGTACGAAATAACTTGTTACAGTTCTATAGTAATCTATTGCTGGAATTATACAGAAAATGTGTTTGGTGCAGTTGATGTTGCTCACAATGCAGCATCCACTTATAAATCGCTATAACATAAATATTGAATTTATGTACATGTACACAGTACAATCTAACATCCACCAATCTGTGCTTGCTCTCTTAGAGAGTTTCAATTTATTTAAGACATACTGGAACAAACGAAAGGCCATTAATTATCGTCATAAATTAATAAATGAATGTGCAGTAGATTTGCATGTATATTCACCTTTCTATAAGCGATGCACGCATGGTTGATGTAATAGCAGCTGGAGCAGCTTCATTAAGTTTAAAGACACTCTCAATAACTGAGAGTTCTGTGGAGGTAGTATCCATGCCACAAAAGGATACCCAATCATTTACAACCATTCCTGCAGCTATAACATCGCTACCTCTATTTACTGTTCCCGCCTATTTAAGATGGCAACAAATAGTATAACTGTACATGTATTGTATATATGGTATAAATAACTGTATTTATAAGTTATCTTACAACAAGGGGCACTTGTAATAAAGATGATAGTTCATCTTGGTCCTGTATAGATGTTTTTGGATGAACCAAACCACCCTGATTTGATAACACTGAATAGGAGCCTACTAGAACATTACTTGCCACAGTTTGCCTAAATACTTCTACATTCAAAGTATCAGCTAAAATTTCTTCTGTCTCCTATACGATAACATTTTTAGTTACAATAATAGAAAAGAAATTAAATTTGTTACCGACAACAATTACTTGCCCTGTCAAGATCCGGATGTACTAAAGCCACATAGTCATTGCATGCTATAACATTACCAAGAGCTGACAGTCTTTCTTCAACTCTTTGAACTTTAACATTATCTGGCAGTGAATTTCGAATGTGCTGCAGTTCTGTGTCTGTTGTTGTGTTTGGCACCAGAAGGCCATTTTTGTTTCCTATTTAAATTCATTTCATTGTTTATACTATTCATTTCAGTATTTCGTAAGTTGCTCCGTTTACAGAGTAATATTTTTATCACTCTTACCAACGCACAATCGTCCTATAATCCGGCATCCCGCCACTGACACATGAACAACGGGAATGGTTTCGCCTAACTCAGCTTCGAATACACTGTAATTTACAACGTTATTTATTTAATTAACGATGAACGTTTTTATCATGCCTGCGTCAAAGCATGTTGGAGGTTATAAGTCACTCGCGAGAACTAACATTCCATCGTAAACAATTTCAAACGACTTATGATTAATATACAATAATATTAGCTGTTTTCATATTTATTTTTACCTGTAAAAATTCTCAGAACCACCGATTGCTACGAGGCAATAAGAATTTGTTAACTTGGAGAAGACTCCGACCTCGTTATTGTTTTCGAATTGTACACGTACCGCCATGATTGCAATAATTTCAATTTACATTAGCGTGAACGAATTGGAAGGGAATCTTGAAAAACGATGGGTCAAACTTCTTATTAATATTTAAAATACACACGCTAACCTATACGTTCTTCGCGTATTTTCCTCCCGCTAACACGAGGTATGTGTCACTGGACACTGGTTATAGAAAATTATAGAAGGAACAATCGATTTCTTACGCATCCCTTAAGCACACTTTCAAACTCATGAATCTTAAGGTTTGATACGATTGCTGGCGTCACCTAGTGAACATTATTTTGGTACAATTTCGCTAGAAGTTTCAGAGATCTTGCACTATGTGGCGTCACTAATCCAGGATAGGGAAGTGGGATTATTTTCTCTTAGTTACATTAAATATCTCACCTGTCAAACTAAACGACAGACTTAACGGCACCACGTACTATTCCCAGCATAAACCAATAAAGGTCCAGTGCGTTCTATATTTTTTAATTAAAAAAAAATGGGATTATTAAACATTATTATCTTAATGGCTTTTTAATAGATTAGACACGACTATTTTGTTTTATGGAGAAATGGAGAATCCCCTGGAGAAACCTCTAGAACTGCTGTCGAGAAACCCCTAGAATCCCTTTGAGAAACCCCTAGAATTCCTTCCTGCAGGATTTTTTCAAAAGGGCACAAAGTGTTTCTTGACGGGGTACCAGGCGAACTGTATTAATACTTTTCCTGTTTTAACACATTGAATGTCATCAACCAAACAAATCGAATTACTATAGTTCACTCAATTAACCAGTTAACTGTCGAATTCAGTTTGAAAAATCTCTCATTGAACACTCATTAAAATCAAATAATAAAGTGTATACTCGTCAAAAGCAGAGCAAATTATCTATAATACATTCTAACGCACAATTGTAGTAAAACGAATAATTACATGTTTATCTGGAAAAATAAATAATTGATCTTTGAAGAAATTAGTACCATCTTGCGTTTTAAGATGACGTGTATACTCGTCAAACACAACTGGTTAAACGATGATTGTCTAGAAACATTTCTATATTACAAATAATGCTAGTTAATTCGGTGACATTCAGCCCGATGAATACACAATACTAATAACGCAATTCAATCGAATGACTTAATTGATACTGAATTGGCATTCAACATGTTAATGTAGCCAACGCGTCGGTAACGTTAATTTCTGTTTATAGATAAAGTCAATTTCTACTTGTTATTAGAAATTGTTTAACTTCACATTTTAAAATTCTTTTCTTTTCTTTTAATATTTAATATTCTTTTTGTAAATAGTCAATTAAAAACAAGCCTAGAAGCTGATTGATAAAAGAATTTCAACATAATAATTTAATGAATATAGTAAACAAATATATTACATTTTTATATTTGTATTTATTATTATACATACATTTTTGACTGTTTGTTAAGCAGGAGCTGGAGTTAGAAATATATTAATAAAAAGTTACTAGTACCCTCTGTCGATGAAACGTGCAAACTGTAACAACTCCTAGCTGTATGCAACCCGCGATGCACAGGATCATCGCGGGTTATCAAATGCACCCGAAGGGTTGTTTTTAGTTCCTACATTCCGCCGCTAGGTGGTTATACTGTTTCCTGGTCCATAAAACGCGCGTATTGCGTTTAAAACTTCAAACAGACTGAATATCGAATCACGTTAATTGACACTGATTCCATAACATGTTTTAACATTTATGTAACAATTCTGTCAATTTCCATTTGCTAAACGTGTTAACCCTTTATAGGGCAAATTATTTTTTTGATGATAATTCGTATTCCCTACCGTATACATATTAGAAATACTTTAAAACAAGAAATCTAGGAAAATTTAGAAAAAAGGTTCTCAATAATAATTGTTTTTTAATTATTTAATTCGTTGTTTCCAACCCTTCCAGCAACACCATAAGGATCAAAATGTTGAACCCTGTAATTTGACCCGTAATAAAAGTGGCATCTATATGTGTCACCAACCTATAAAATTAATTTCATAGAACAAACTACACAAAACGGGGAAAATATAATATTAAATCATTCGATTGAATTGTATTATTATTACACGTTCATCTAGTTGAATATCACCGCATTAGGTAACACTATTAATAATATACAAATGTTTTCAAATAATCGTTAATAATAATAATACCGTTAATTATAATAATACCGTTGGGGTCACCAGTGACCCCCAACCGAATCGGATTACTATAATTTACTGAGTTAAACTATGATTATTTGAAAGGACTTAAAAATAATGCAAAACAGAACACGCAATAATAATTGATTTAATATATTTTTTCAACGTGGTTATTTTTCTCTATGAAATCGTGCTCAATCATTCAACGTGTTAATTGAGTGAACTATGCTAATTCGATATCGTTGAGGGTCACCGGTGACCCCATGTCATTCAACACATTTCTATGGCACCATGACACTGCTCGAGATATATTTAGGTAATCGTCGCAAGTTACAAAGGTCAGGACGTCGATTTAATGACAACAAAGCATTTCTTGCACAATTCCTTTATTGAAAGTCTTTCTCAATAACATCGGCAACCGGCACGCAGAAAAGAAAGGAGTGATGCGGCTCCGGTCGGAGGCGCGTGGTAGCGTGTAGAGTGGGTCGTTGCGGAACGTTTGCTCGATACGAGACGTCGGTTCGTTCGCGTTAGCATGAATAAAACTAGTAACTGCTGAAAATCACCGCTTTATTAACAACATTATCGTAAGCATTATAAATACGAATCCATAATAGTTTCCATTTTGATTGGTTCCGTGACCGGTGTGTTATTGTACAGATCTATTCTCGTCTCGGTAAAATTGGAACGTACTGGCAGTATTATTTGCGAGAGAATGATTCGTCAATGCTACGGAGAAACTCTATCGGTTAAGATCGGCGAGCCGTCGTTCAACGTCTCTCCGTTTCTCGGATCCGTCGACGGCCAACAGCCAGCGGAATTGTGAGTGCGCGATGCGAGAACAACGAGGATCCTCTATTCGAAAATGTGTTTGTCGCGCGGCGAGAAATGAAAACAAGTCCGCCGAATAAAACACGCGGAGAATCCGGGAATGTATCTGGCGGCGACACTGATTCTTCGCTCGGGCCCGGAAGTCGGATCCATTCCGGGCCGAGAATGATACGTATAGCCTGGCAAAGCCGAGAAGATGGTTTTAGGAAGGAGTCCGCTCGAAGGGGGAAGAAAAGCGATTGGACAATTGCCGGGGGATGGATACACGCCACCGTTCGAATGTTTGGAATCATTCGTCGGCTTCCGGTCGGATTCTGTTTACTGCCACGAGGTGAAACGATTTTTACCGACGAATTCAAAGGATTCGTATATACAGCGACCAAATGAAACGAACGAAATAAAATTAAGAATCGATCTTCTCTACTCTATTTTGTACAGTTTACCGATCCGAAACGAGTGGTTCAATTGTTACTCTTAGAAGCTGACGATTCACAGATTCCAAACCTGTAGCGTACGAAAGGGACTGAATGGCAGAGAGAGGAGGACACACGAGTAGAGAGAGCAGGGTGTCGTTTTGTACTGACTCCTTCCAGAAACCGTCCACTCCGCGTTGCCAAAAAATACACATACACGAACGGAAACGTTGAACAGGGGAGAGTGAATTACCGCCGGTCTTCTTTTGATTGCTTGCTACTCAGTCTCCCGATT